AGTTATGGGTGATATGACGGGTGCGTAGTTATATAGCCCCTTCTCTATCCTCACAAGCCTGGCAGTTCGACGACGGAGCCATATAGAGTGCCCGGTCGCAGATTTGGAGCGCGAGGATGTGGTAGCACAGAGTATCAAAGAGTCATTTCTCGGGGAACCTGGACGTCAGCGCCTAGCTTTTGCAGTGGCGAGGACCTGGAACACACTTGTTCGCTCGGGAGAAGTGTGTTTCGGCGTCTCGCCGCAGCGGGGCGCCAGTCACGTGGCTCTCCTCTCATCCGTTGTCTGCCGCTCCACCTTTTCCATTTCTGCGGCCGCTCACCAGATCGAGTATATTTGGTGATAGAGTTTTGAGCTGGTCAAGTTGGGAAAGGTGGAAGTTAAAAAAACAGGTCGATAAATTTGTTAGTTTCGGATGAGAAAGGGCTAAACACCGGATCAGCGGTAGACCAAGCAATGTTGGGGTAGATGAAGTCACCCATCAATAAAATCGGCACTCCTGGATGCTGTACAACAATTTGGTTAATACAATCATGAAACAGACTCACATAAAAAAATAGCCAGTTGGAGGTCGATAGCATACACCTATAACAGTCTGTTTGTGCTTAAAACTAATGCAGACCCAAATAATCTCAAGTTCACAGGCTACCATTACAGAACGAGGAACTATTGAATCAGCAACCGCCAATAAAACACCACCGCCACTCCTGACTTGTCAATTCCAGCGGAACGTGTTAAACCGTTTCTGACAATGAAATAACTCGCTATCAGTCACTTTGCAAGATAGCCACGACTTAGTGAGAGCAATGACGTCTTCATCGTATGAATCGGCAACTGAGCACAGTTCGCCATATTTACGGATTAGACTACGTATGTTAGTAAACAAAACGGAAACATTTTTGAAAGTCATACGCGTTTCACTGCAACTCACTGGCTGTTAAGAAGACACGGGAAATAGGGCGCAGTTTGATTATGGGAGGGGGCTATTGCAGCAGGAACTTGGTGACGGGGCGTGGCTAGTTCATAAAGAGTCTTCGATTACATTTTACGCATAGAACGTTATATTCGTAAACAGTTTATTATACTTTAGCATAAACTGGCTCTCCTGTCCTTTACCGTATTCCACTATATTACGCCGAGTCAAACCTGTAGAAAAGCTAAAGTCTTAAGAGACAGAAACAGAGCCGGCTTTTAAGCTAGGTTTGATCTGCAGAACACTTTTTTTAGTTTTAAAAGACTGAAACTTAACTCATATGGTACGGTGTTTTCCTGTTATAAATGAATTTAAACGGTAGGCGCTCACAGTCTGTTCTCGTGATATACTAAGCGAAGCGTATTCTGAAAGTTACCCTATTACCTTCCCTTCCGCCTGGGCCTACGTTTCGCTAGCGCAATCATCTCCACCAGGTGCGGCCAGGCTGACCCGGCCTAATGGCGCGTTCACACTGGAAGCGGATCCGCGTTCGCGAAGCGGATCCGCGCGTCCTCAACCGCAAAGCGGCTAGGATCGAGCGGTTGGAGCGCGTTTTTGCCAACCGTTTCGGGACCGATTTCTCCCAACCGCTTTCACGAACCGCAAAGCGGCAACCAATCACAACGCGACGCTGACGTGACGTCAGTGACTTTCGAAACAAGATGGCACCTGTCGCTGGCGAAGCGTCCAAGGCGCGGTAGTCCTAGCGTTGTAGTCTTAGCTTTCGACAAATCAACGGAGAAACTTGATGTTCACGTCCGTCACTTGAATCCGCCGCGAAAAGAATTGAATCGTAAATTTAACGGGCTTCGCACCGGTGATTCGGTTCGGGTAAGAGTTTGTTTATTATTCCGGGTGCCACAGCCCAAGCTCGCTGTCTTGTTAATCTCTGTCTATAGAACGTCGGAACCCGCCCCTGATCGACCGAAATGTTAGCTTTTCTACCCACTAGGATAGTCGCGTGAACTATTGAAAGCTTTCGACACCGTGCATGACCACCACGAAGGCCGATAGAGACGTCACGAGCTTGATTGCGTAGCCAACGCTCTACCGCACTACCGCGGAGGGGGCAGGGTACCTGCACTAGCTCGACCTGTAACGTTTACTACTGATAAAATAAATAAAGGGAACCTACTCAAGGAATAAAGTGTACGTACCAGACAATGCAGAGGTAATCCATACGGCGTTTATTTGAGCTTAATGTCAAACAAAACAGTAGACTCGATCGACGAGCGAGTGACGAGAGGAGAGTCCGCCACCAACGAAGCCATGACCGGCTAGCACCGAACACATTCCCCCCGCACCACGGTTTACCCCACCGCTCACAACTTCGAAAATGATAAGAGCGAACAACAGCGAGGGGGAAAAACGGGCCCTCTATCCCGAAAACAAAGTCAGCTATTCATGCGGGAAGAGTCCACTTCGAAGAAAAGGTCGGGGGCTTCCTGTTCTGAGTCAGCAAGGCGCGCCTAGCTGGACTTTGCTTGTGGGCGAAGTCGGAGGAATCACAGGCGAGTTTGGCGAATCCATGCTTCTTTTTTCGCTGCCTGAACTCGTGATGCGCGCGAACATCCCGGAGAAAAATATTCCGACTGCCAAAATAGCAAAACTTTGGCTTTGGATCTTGGCTTAAAGTGCATTTTGGATTGTAAAACAGGGTTGCCAAACGCAAGTCTCAAAAGATCACGCGTGATCGCCGAGAAACCGCCAACCGCCTCTCATGTGTCTGAACGGGGTCGCTCGCGAACCGCATCCGCGACCGCTCCGCGAACGCGGATCCGCTTCCAGTGTGAATGCGCCATAAGAGCCGCAAACCAAACCACGAAACTTCCAAGAGCCGCGGGGGGGGGGGGGGGGGGGGGGGGGGAGGGGGGGGGGGGGGAGGGGGGGGCAATTTTTTGTACAGAGCAGTAAACGAAACTCGAAATACTTTCTATCTATTCGAGTGAAAAGCAGTCCAACTCTACGTAGGGTAGCAGTAGCACAGGACTATCAAACCGCAACCTGTCTTTCGATTTAAGACGCGTTCCATTTTTCTTTTGAATGGGGTGCGCCGCGAGCCGCGCTTTAACACGTGAAGAGCCGCAGCTTGGCCACCCATGATCTACATCATGAAATAATGGTTATCTTTGCGTGACTGGTCTTTTATTTTGTCTAATCTGAGGTGCAAAAGGTTATTTTCTTTTTCAACGCTCTCAACAGCTGCGTGGGCTCTAGCCAACTCATGGTGAAATTCGACGATTGAAGCTGCCTTCAATTCGATAGTAGAAACCTTCGCACCAATATTTTGCAACCGTGGCTTTTCGTTGCTCATGACTTGACTTTAGTTCGTTAATCGAGGTGTATATGTTGTTTTGCCCTTGTTAAACCTTTAGAGTACGCACATTTGTATCTTGCGATAACTGCGTTATTTCATCTAGTTCCTTAGCCATTTTGGCATTAGTTGGACCGGAGTTAGTCTCGACATCATCACCGAGCAACAGCAACAGCACTCTAAACGAACTCAGCAAAGCTTCTGGGCATGGAAGCACTACAATGCAGACATCGTTTGACTTAAAACAATAACAACCTTCCTGATTACCAACTTGTAGGGTTAGAAGAACGAAGTTTAAAATGTGCATCTTTGGCGTGCATCTGTGCCCGCTGACGATCCACGGTGAGGGGACCAGGGGCCCTATGTTCCGCTTTTTGGACTCCCACGGCGACTACGGAGAAGGAAGTGACGTCAACAACGCAGCAAACGCAGATTGGATGTTGATTTTGTTTTCTTCTGTCAACATCCAATCTGCGTTTGCTGTGTCGTTGACGTCACTTCCCTTATAGTTGCCGTGGGAGTCCAAAAAGCGCAACATAGGGCCCCAGCTATCTAGGCCATTGTGATGGTGCAGGTGTCGATGTGGCTGTTCAGAAAGGACAGAGACAAAACTGGTTGATAAGAGTCACGAAGAATGCCTCGATTGCCTGGCCCCATTTCTGCTTGGTTATACTCGAAACTCCGGTAAAGAGGACGCCTTTCATGTTGAGCAAATCCCTCGGGGCAGACAGATTGGCGCCCGAAGAGCCAGGTTGGAGACCAAAGGCCGTCTCGCTCGAGAACTGTATGGTTAGAAGAACAATGTTTAAGATGTGCATCTTTGGCGTGCATTCATGCCCACCCATTACGGGTTTAAAATGAGACGCTCAATTTAGACGCCGTTTTAGGTTTCGGTTTCCTATCAAAGCCCATCTTTGCGTAAGTGGCTGTCATGTGGCCGTGGCGCGGAGCTACGGGCTCGGCTTCCTCGCAGCATGGAAGAATACCGCTGGCGCGTGGAGCGTCTCGGTCATCGACGGACAGGATCGGTAGGGCAAGGGTGCGCTACGATAGCGAACCGAGACCTAAAAACTCGTCCAAATCGAGCATTTTTTTTAAACGCCTAAAATGCTGCTTCTGCCTCGTATCTGTCTAAAATCAGTTGATTAGTGGTTCTCGACGATGCTTAGGAGAGTTATAAGTGGAGCCACATGCTTATCTTCACTCTTTAAGAAAAAAACAGATTAATACATTTTAGTTACTAAAACTGACTAGTTTTTTTTTTTTGTTCTTTTTTTCTTTTTTTGCAATTCCTGACGTTTACCGTGGCTGACAGGTTGCTCCCGGAAAGTCTTTATTTTTTTTATTTCTATACCACCCTATTTTTAGGAATATTTGAAAGTATTCGGTAAAGCACCCGGAAGTTCATTCGAACACAATTTTTCTTCCTTGACGACCTACTACGATGTATTTGTAGGCAATTCGGTAAATATAAATGTTTGTTATTTTAGAACATTCTTATCCGAAATGTTTGATATTTTGTTTGGAACATAGAAGCACGAATGAAAGTGCCCTTCTTCCCAATAACCCTATTTAGAAATATTTGTTTAATGTTGAGCGATTCTGCTTTTATAAGTAGGATGAAAAATTGATATGATGCTCATTGGCTAGATATTAGGTTATTCGAAAGTCAAATCCTCATATGTACTTTTAAATGTTTGCTCTTTGTTACAGAATGATCACCTTTTTCCTTTTAGCTTTAGCCGGGGTGTCAGCGGGAGAGAATGCCGAAAAAAAGAAACCACCTCACATCGTTTTTATTCTCGCAGATGACTTGGTATGAAACAACTCAAATACTCACGCACGCGTTTTAGCAGGCAGTTCCCCTAAAATTCAAATGAGCTCCAAGTTTTGAATTCTAGGAACTGATTCTTAAAAAAAAGGAGAAAAAAGACGTGCGTAAGAAATTTTATTTGTCCAGAAACTAAGAAGGAAACGCTTTTCTTAAATCCCATTGTCAAGGTTTTTTATACGTGGGTTGCACATGACGTCATTTCCGATGCCCTCCAGGGAAAAGGGGAAGAAGGAGCTGCCCTCTTATCAGGATCCTCCTTTGTGCCTCCCGGATTTGCACAGGGGTCGCTATTCTCCCTCCAGAAGGTTATTCGCGACTCCAGCGACCTATAGGGGGCGCCACCACCAAACAAACATGGCGGCTGAGTCCAGGTCCCGTCGGCTCGGCCGGGCCGCCTGAACAGGTGGCGCGTTCAATTTAACAGACTTTTCTTTTGTTTAATGCCCAATTTTATAGGTATTTGAACTGAGACAGTTAAGTGTAGCCGGTGCCGATAAACTTGCAAAGCATAGTTTTGTTTTGCCGGTGTTTTTCGTTCTTTTCATGTCAAACTTTCGTTTCGGAGATTTCGCTCAAAACCGAAACTATGAGCTCGGGAGAGACGTCAATATACTAATCAGTTTTGATCATCTAAGGAAAGCGGCGATGGCTACAGAATTGTTCCACAGAGAGTAACTTTTCAGCTAACTCGCTTGCCTCGACCATGCGACTTATCTGTCCGCGAAATCGAGCTTTTGCGCTTATCCGCGTTTAAGAAACAGCTCCAGTCGTCTGCTCGGTCAACAACACAGGCTGCACGAAAATTACGAAAATTAAGCAAGCGCTTCTTGAGCCAAGGACCATGTTAACCCGCCGGCGTCCCACTAAGCAGCTGATACTCGTATTTTAATTCAAGTTTTAGTAGCAATCGAGAAGTCATTTTGACGAGCGTGTTATGTATTATATTACGTACTATGTCCCACTAAATCGATATTAGTATATTCTTCGGGTTGAAATATGAGCTTAGTTGACTAGCTATTAGGTGAGCTGCTGAATAAAAGTATATTTGACAGGCAGAGAGATACTACTTAAACTTAGCCAAATGGTTCTATAGCCGGCAGCACGGAGACAAACTGAAGCGTCTTCATCGAAGATTCACGCAGAACCTTTCTGCATTGAACTTTGCTTCGAATCCTGAACGGAGAAAATGAGTATTTTTTTTTTTGGCAGGTCAACCTGGCCAATGTAGACTTATATTGTTGCTGGCTTCGACGTCCTCGTAATATAAATGGAGGCGCGATAGGTCAAAATGCCGTGACAGCATCTAGACTCGTCCCCCACCTTTTGAAAACAGATAATTTCCCTCGTTCATTATTTGCAGCGAGCAGGTTTTCCTGAATCAAGTAATTGCGAAATCAGCCCAACTCCTTCAGTGTGGTCCAGAGGCTTTTTCGGCGAAAAGCAGCCAAGATGAATAGCCAACGCACCGACCGGCGTGGGTGGCTCAAACTTGAAGCTAACCGAACACAACCAAACTCAAGAAAAGCAGCTGTCGAACCTTCCCACTCACTTTACTGCAACATTCGTGTTCCCTCCAGTGAAATGCCTCGTCTGTCGTCCTCAGTCCACTGTCCTACATCCTTATAAAGAAACCACTCATCAGTTACCAAGTAGTCGTAACTTTGAATGTGATTCGAGACAGACAAGAAATCAAAACGTTTTTCCGCGATTCCTCCCCATCCAAGAAATCGAAAGCACGCGACCGTGTGTTGTCGAGTAAACGGGCTTTCAAGCACGTAATAGAAGAAAACAATCTACTGAGGCTTCACCACACTAATTATCACTCATGCGAACTTAAGAAATATTCGGACTTTCGTCAAATTACATTGCTCGCCACCGCGCCGACAACACGTCTCCGCGAAAGCCACCAGAGACGCGGAGGGGCGCGGAGCGACCTGAACCGGCTGGTTCCCGGTTTCCCCGCTTGGTGGCGTCCGTTTTGCTGGAGTCGCGAATAGAAGATTAACCTGTCACTCAAAATTCTTACAAAAGCAGCTTCCCTTTCCTCCTTTACATGGTGTTCAAAAGTATGCGATGTCACGTCAGTGCAAGGAGCCTATAGGTACAGCCAGTGGGTGCCGGCGCTTGCCGCTCCCTCCCGTTTGCGAAGAGCCGCGACATCGAAACGTAAAGGCGTGCACACGGCAAAAGGCCGTCCTTGACCAAGACACTCCCGCAGTTGTGATGTCCTAAGCTCTCCATCTGATTTTGCACCGACGCTATTTGCTAACGAGGAGTTCGTTAATACGCTGTTTGTTAAGATGCAATTTCTCCATGCGGAATTAGTTGAGATGCGATTAGTTGAGGCGGAATTTCTTAACCCTCACCATGGCATCACTTGAAAAACCTTCAGCCTTTCCACTCTGGTGAAGAAGGAAGACCAGCGGAGCTCTACAATGGAAAGTAATGGCCGGCCGCAAGTCGGCAAGCCAGAGTGGAAAGGCTGCCGCCATCTATGAGTGATGGCGGCAACCAGATACGTGGCTTGCCGCGTCGCTCATCGATGGCGGTAGGTGTCCAGAGTTCGGTGTCTTCATTTCTTTGCGGGGGGCACGATCCTGGGGAAACTAGTCCTTAACAGCTGCACTGTTAAAGGGGGCGTGCGAGTGGCATGCGTGAGTGATGATGCGCATGGCGTGAGCGCTGACAACGCCCCCTGTGGGTAAAAAAAAGTAGCAGTGCAAAATTGTCGGCGTCACCTAGAGAGTGTCAATGCAGATTGAACACGAGTGTTGCCTCAGTGTTCGGCTGACACTCACGTCTTCATCGATTGTGCACGAGTCTTCTTCGGGTGACGGCGAAACTCTAGCCTTTTGTGTTTCTTCACTTTGACTCGGAGGTGTTGGCGATGACGTGCTTTTACGTGACTGAGAGATGGTGGTGTGGGAGCGTTGATACAAAAAGGGCGGTGTCGACGGCCCGGAACTGCGGCAACGCCTGCACACATCCCAACGTAACTCCTTTAAAGCGTGTTAGGGATTTAAAGAAATAGAAGAAAAACTTTCACCCTTTCCACTCTGGTGAAGAAGGAAGAGCAGCAGAGCTGTAGCTTCTGTCCTCAGCGGTGGCTTTCCAGACGAACAAATTTTTCCGCTAAATTTATCGAAGAATTTTTCCGCTAAATTTAGCAGGGAAATTTTCCAGCTAAACTTAGCGGGGAATTTTTTCGTTCAAATTTAGCGGGAAAATTTTCCCGGGAAATTTAGCGCGATAATTTTTTCGCTAAATTTAGCGTAGAAATTTACCGCCAAATTTAGCGGGATTATTTTCCCACTAAATCTAGTGGGTAAAGATTTTCGCTAAATTTAGCGGTGAACCTTTTCGCTAAATTTAGCGGGGAAGTTTTGCACTAAATTTAGCGATAAAATTGTCTCCGCTAAATTTAGCTTGATACCTTTTTCTCTATATTTAGCAGGGAAATTTGTCTGCTAAATTTAGTGGAGATATTTTCACGGTAAATTTAGCGGGGAAATATTTTCCTTAAAATTGAGCCGGGATTTTTTTCTTAAAATTTAGCAGGGAAATTTTTCAGCTAAATTTAGCGGGATAGCTTTTCCGCTAAATTTCGGTTGACGAGTGGTCTAGCGCACACCAGCTCGGAGCACGACGAGCGGAAGCTCGCGCTGCAGAACCCAGGGATCCTGGGTTCAATCCCCACCCCTGCCCTTTTCGATCTGGATGAGCATCGTACCGGTGCGCGGTTGTATATCACTACTGCGCAGTGCACATTGAAGACTCTATACTACAGGTTGTACTGCACTGGCTAAATTTCTTACTACACATCAGAGACTGGACGCCCACTGAGCCAGACTAACTTTACAAAATTAGACAAAAAGTCTAATTAGTCGTTAGTTGTTTCTACAGCAGGAGATTAGTCTGCCAGAAGATGGGCGGCATTGTTACCCACTGTAGGTAAGTAAATTTAACCAGTGCAGTACGACCGCTAGGCTGGGGTCTTTAACGTGCGCCACGCAGTAGTGATACGCGACCGCACGCCGGTACGATGCTCATCCAGGGCGAAACGGGGAGGGGTGAGGATTGAACGACTAACTTTAGAGGCTGTATAAACATACACACACCAATTTTTTTTCTTTTTTTTAAGCTGACAAACTTGCGTTTATGAAAGGTCTCCTGCCCTGAATCTCTGAACACACTGTGGCGCCCTCATATTGGGTTCTACAAGCTCACTTAACTGGGCCTCGCACTACTTATGGCACCTTCACTAAGCTTTTATTCGTTGTGTAGATCTGAAGAACGGAAAGCAGATTTCGACGTTCAGAATCGGCTAGATTTAACGCCACAGGGCAAACGAAAGTGCCAGATTCATGAAACCACCTCTAGGGTACGCGTCTCTTATCTCTGCTTGGTGACGTTAGAACATCTGGCGTCCCGACGCGTTGTTTTCTCTTTTTTTTTCTTCTTTTTACTTTGGAACGCGTGAAACGGTGTCTCTTGGCTCCTGCTCTTAGCGTCTTAGCTTTGACCTTTGCTTCGACGGCGTTCGAATACTTGTTGTTTCCTCGTATTTTCTTTGGATCTCGCGCTCTGCACCAGAGCAAGCAAGCTTCTAAATGTCCGGCAGTCTGAGACGCTTAAGATTGTAGTGCCGAAAATAAGACCTAACGAGTTCCTTTTCGCACATAAAAATCCCAAGAGGGATTTGTATGTCACGTGACAAGCTCTATGGGGACATGGAAGTACCTAACGTCTCTGCCTAATGGTAGAGAAATCCGTGTCGCTTCGAATACTAAACTTTAATTTGGCTCGCAGGAATTGACCGCAGTGGCTTTTAGTTTGAGTCCAAATAACCGCCCCTTTATACTTTAGGAGCCGCAGGCACAGTTAGGGCCAGGATCGGTAAATATGAAAAAAAGGAAAAGAAAAATCACGCGATATAAAAGCAACTTGAATCAAGCTGTGTGCTGCAGTCCTGATAAATGCTCCCACCAGAAAATCAGAGGTGCAGAGAGCCACTAAGAAGCTATCGGGCAATAAATCGCCGGGACCTGACGTGATCGGCTTTAAATTCTACAAAAAATACGCAGATCTACTTTGCCCAATACTGGTGAGGGTGTTTCCGGACATTTTTCGACGCGGGCTCCTCCCACCTTCAATAAGGGAAAGTCTGAGAGTGCTCATCCCCAAAAAAAGAGAGCGGACAGCCGTCATTCCAAACGGTGTTTATGCTAGATGCGGCGACCTCAATTATGAATTCCGGATGCGTCACTTGGTGCACACCGATTGCTGATGAACAGTACAAACAAGGCGAGTAAAAATAATGATTGAAGTGAACGATACGGGAACGAAGGAAGAAAATCTCCTCTTCCCCACTACAACGATCGTCCTCCCCCCACTCCCGAATAATTCCAACGTTTCTGGTGGCGTGCCCGGGGTTATGTTCAAATTTAGTCTGGTCGCTATGGCCGAGGAGATTGAACATTATGGGGCGCTTTGCCCAGCTTGTTTTCTACAGAGCTTGTGTTCCCATCACAAGGCCTGTGACTTAATTTTTTAGATAATTTTATTGATCAAGCGTGGGGAAGATTGAACACCAGTGTTGCATCAGGGTTTAGCTTTGACTCGTGTTCAATCGATGCTTTAATGTGAGCCCGAGCATCGGCCGAACACTGAAGTAGTGTTCACCTATGGCAGACGAGCGCTGCATCAGAAACACAAACAAATATTTTATTTTGTTGTTGTCCCAATGGATTTGTTTAGTTTTCAACTAAGCTTCAAGAGGAGTATAGTTGTCTTTTCTCCCCAATAGCTGCCATAGCTTTTTTTAGTATTTATTTAGCTGTTCACGCTATACGTTCTGGGAAATAATATTTTTAGCTTATTCTATAAATTCTGTAGCCGACACGCTCTAGCCTTCAAAGCTTCCACTTGTTTATTATGTTCTGCTAAATAATGTATGGCTTGACCAATGCTTTTTTTAACCCGCGTGCTATACATGCCTATAGGTTTTCCACTGGTTTCCTTCGCCTTCTTCTGCTCGTAGTTTGGTAATGTAGAACATTTTTGTGGATAATTTTATTACATTAGCAGGGGCGTGTCATATATGCCTATAAAATATGTGATAATTTCTGAGAAATTTAAAGGTTCTTATATGGTCTTGCAACGAATTTCATATGCGTTTTCTAGCTGCCATGCTATAGCTGCCTAGAAGTTGTATCTTCGCTTTTCACCGGCACATGATTTTATATGACAAAGTAGAACTTTTTTATGAATGTTCCAATAAGATACCTTTTCTCCCTAGGGTTGGGATGACACAAGCATTCATGGCTCGTCTCAGATTCCCACTCCGAACATGGATGCGATGGCGGCAGACGGCATTATTCTGAACCAGCACTACGTTCAGCCCCTGTGCACGCCTTCAAGGGCCGCGCTCATGACAGGCCGTTATCCCTTTCACATAGGTGAAGTACACTGCCTGACATCTCGGGCTTGTTCATTTAGAGAGCTCATAGGTCTTCCGGTGTATTGGAGGGGAATCTATACTTCTTTTCACCTTAAGTCCGAGCGCAGTGTACGCTACGAAACGACAGAGACAATCAAATAGCGGCAAAGGTGTGGCGTTACGGAGTGCATCACCGGGGGACCGAATCAGGTGCCACAAGTACGCTTCTGTCACTGCTTGGTTGGCCCTATTGTTTCGTAGCGTCCGCTGCACTCGGACCTAAAGTGAAACGGAGTATAGCATTGCACGAAAGTTTGTTTGTTTCAACTAATATTTTATAGGCTGCGTTTAATGCGCACTCAGCTTATGGAGCTTAAAATAAAACTAAATGTAATATGGTACAAGTTTGATTGACATGCGTAGTAATACATATCCTTCTCCCAATTAATTCTCATTTTCTTAAAGATCCGTGGGCACATCGGCAGTTTAGCCCCATGATCAAGTACAAGAAACTAGGTCCGAATGGCGGATAAAAAAATGAAAGACTCCCTGTAACGCCGAATTAGACCGCAGCTCTCGTAGAGGAGGAGGGGAAGGTACGGAGAGGGGGTATGCCCCTCCTCCTCTACCGTACCCTAACCTCCTCCTCTCTTCCTCCCCTCCCATTTAGCGGAAAATTTGCACTAAATTTCCCGCTAAATCTAGCGGGCAAATTTTACGGCTAAATTTAGCGGGGAACTTTTTTGCTAAATTTAGCGGGGAATTTTTCAGCTAAATTTAGCGGGAAAATTTCTCCTCAATTTAGCAGTTGTAACGTGTGAAAAACCACACGTTACATCCCAAGGAGAATACGACGGCCTACTTCCGCGCCAAGGTTCGTCTGTGTCGATAAGTGCATCTCAATGTCTCTATGTTGTCCCAATGTTGTCCCAACACACGGGAACAGTTCATCACTGGACTGCTCTCGAGACAACTGAGCACAATGCTACTGGGAAGAAACTATGACGATGATGACAACCTCCTGCATGACATCAAGGAATTTGAGAGGATTGAACGTAAAAGGGAAGAATCTTCTAATGTTTCATGCAATGCGCGTACGACCACTGACTACGTGAACCGAAGATACAAGTGCGACGTCCGCAAGAAAGACTGGCGACGGACAAGAGACAACCAACCACCGCTTTGAAACAAGAAAAGGAGAACCTAAGTGCTACAACTAAAATCTCTATGGTCACATGGTACGAGACTGCCGAAAAACAAAACGACCCTTAACGTGCCTCCGTTGCAACGGAATGGGTCATACCCAACGTCAGAGCAAGGTGACTCAGCGTGATGAAGCAAATGCTGTGAGCGCTATAGCGGAGGAAACCAAAAACGTTGGTGCCTTGCTGATGGAAGTGTCACTGAACGTGAGTTACACTCGTAGGGCTTGTTGACACTGGAAGCTCCGGCTGTCTTCTACGTGCCTCTGCAGCAGCACGTTGTGACGTTGAGCTTGTTCTGGAGGAAACGCTCCTCTAAAGTTGTGGGGAAAAGAAAGCAGTGTGCCTGCAGGCAAGAACAGTGCGGACATTGCGATTGATGGAGTGGTGGCCAAGGACACCCCGCCTTTGTTGTTCCAGATAAAGCCCAGTTTGTGGACTTCCTGGCTGGGCGTACGTTTACCGAGCGGCCTTACATTACATATGCAAGAGAGAAGGCCAGCGATAGTGTGGACTTCCTGGGTTTCCATCTGACTAACGGCTAGATGCAGCCAGGAGAGGCCAAGGCAAATGCAATCCCCCAATTTCCGACCCATAAGAATGTGCATTACGTAAAGGCTGGACTCCATGGGGCGAATATGCTGCAAAAAGTCGACGAATTTCGCCTGGCGGCTTTCGCTCTGCGCGTGGCATCAGCACAGTGACTATACTGCGTCGCGTGGAAAGCAAAACGTACCGCGGGGCGAAGTTCGTCAGTTATTAGTCGCATATTCGCTCCATCGAGTAACGCCTTAAGACAATTTTTGAGACTGAGTGGTTTCTTTTAAAACGTTATCCACAAGTACCCTCTGATTGCTGAACAACTACAAGAGGTGTCTCAACGCGGTGAAGCAACCAATAAGGATCCAAGCGAGCTGCTAGCACAAGTACGACTCTGTTGAAAGGACAGAAAAGGAGTAAGCAGGCATATGGCAATCACCACAATGCAGCAAAGCTGTACGGTGTGGGACAAGTGGTGTTCTTGAAGAGAGCACCTCAGCACACTAGGAATCCTACTAAGACACTACCCAAGTATCGAAGATCCCTGGCTGTCACGGAAATGCTGCCTCCACATACCTGAAGGGTAGCGGAGCATGACCAGAATTCAAGTAACCGGTTTGCAACAACGGCCCATGTCTCCCATCCCAAGGGATGATCAACGACTTCTAAGGAATCTTATTTTGAGGACGATGTATTTTCTGAGGATTTTGAAGACCAAGAGAATAATTTCGAACTTGGACTGCCGAGTCGGACCCGTGTTCTTGCCAGACTTCACGTCTGTATGGTATGAAATTAATATCATCGTATCTTTTTCTTGTTAAGCTTCTTGTTTCCTAAACGAGGACGTTAAGTGGGCCGGACGGCCGAATGTAAGGATTTGTCTCTTAGACATTTTACTGGCGCCCAAAACCGCGCGAATGGGAGAAGAAACTGAGAGTGAGAACCCTGGCAGTAGTCAATCGATGGGTGAGCGCGCAGGAAGAATTGTGTGTGTGTGCGACCATGTGCGTAAAAAAATAATAGAGCAGCGTTTTTCCACGATTCAACTTGAATGCATGAATGTAAGCGAACGACTGTAAATAGTAGAATAATTAATGTAGCTTTTCTAAAATATTCAGTTGCATGTGACTAAGTTTTCACTAAAATGGTAACTCGGTCAAATGCCGTGCCGTGTGCCGTCCATTTATAACAGGTAAAACTCGAATAAGTCACCTTTCATATTGCTTCGTTAAATGTGCTACATTCAGCTATTTTATATAACTTTAAGTAGTAGCCATCGAATGTACGAAATTAAACTAAGTTATTGACATAATAGAGTCATCTAAGGATAGCAGTAATAACTTATTTACAAAAGCGCAAAGGACAAAGACAGGACAAAGAATGAACAGGACAAGCGCTTACTAACAACTGATTGTTCAATGCTGAATAAGAGAAAGACGAAAATGAGAGGAGATTTAAAAAATTAAAATTCCAATTGTTTTCCCACGTAAAATGATTAAAATTATTTGAGAAAAATTAGGACTGATAGAAAAATAAAATTAAAGAAAAGCGTCCAGATTAAGAAAAACGTTGAGGTACACTATCTCTTTCTCAGACAGTGAAATTGATGGTGTGCTAATGCACGTGTCTCCTTTTTCGATTATAGTTTTTGCCTCGAAAATCTCTCTGGCTCTCTTGCTCCGAAAGCGTTAGAGTATTTGCGTTTGATTGAAAAGGGGAGTGAATTTATGGTCTCTGGCATGTATGGCCAAGTGTCCAGACGGTGAGGCTTGTAGGGAAAGCTCATGCTCTCGTAGTCGCACATTTACGCAGCGCCCAGATTGACCGACGTACACTTTCCCACATGTGCACGGAATTTCGTAAACGATGTTGACGTTGCAGTTGATATATTTATGTGCGTGTTGGACTGAGCAGTGCTCTCGTCTTTCGTTCTGGGAGTTGATTTTTGGACACAGTTTCTTAAGTTTGTCAGGAGCTGATGTTACAACCTGTGTGTCATATTTTGACGCTATTCGTTTCAAGTTGTGTGATACTTTGTGTTGGTAGGTTATCGCTGCCGGGCGCCGTGTCTTATCTCTTCTTCTTCTTTGATTGTGAATGGTCAGGCTCTCTGCTACATCGAACATTAAAAAACTTGTATACCCAGATTCCTGTAGTTTTTGAACTTGCGCCTCAAAACTCTGCTTGGCTGTGTGCACGCATGATTTTTGCAAGGCTGCTATGAAGCAGCTTTTTACAATTCCTCTCTTGATTATTTTAGAAAGGGCCGAATCAAATGGTAGAAGTGATTTTTTGTACCGTGGTTTGTATGTCCAGCAAGTATGGTTGTCTTCAAAGGACAACTGAAGATCTAGGAATTGAAGCTTGCTTTCGTCTGGTAGCTCGTGGGTAAAGCTTAGTCCCTGAGATTGAGTAAGGAACGTGGTGCAGATATTGTTTACAGTTGAGTCATTTTGTTTATGTCGTTCATGCAGTAAGACAAGATAATCATCAACATATCTGAACACCCATGATACCAGATTTGCTGGGAGCTTCTGGGCTATGGTCTTGTCACATTGGGCTAAGAAGATGTTACACAGAACTGGTGCCACGCATGAGCCAATGCATATTCCTTTTTTCTGGATATATGTGTTGTTGTTGAACGTCACTACAGTGGAGGTGAGGTAGAACTTCAGAAGCTCCATGAATGACTCCACGGAGATACCGCACTGATTTTGGAAGGGCACAGTTCCATGGTTCTCGATGCACGCACTGGTTGCCGCAAACATTTCCTTGTGTGGGACTGAGTAAAATAAGTCTTCCACGTCAAGCGAAAACCCATACCTCGCTGTCGTGCCATCTTGTTTAAGGTGTTCTATCAATGTCTGCGAGTTGGGAATCAAAAATGGATCGTTGATTTCAAGATTTTTAAGGTGGTCTAGAAGGTATCTAGACATAGCTCCCTGCCGTTATTCTTTTTCTGTTACCACTACTCGAAATGGGCAACTTTCCTTGTGAGTTTTTGCCGTAAAAAACATTTCCAATTGGACACCGTTTGCCGCGGTAATCTGTTTTCTGAGTTGAGTTAAGTCCAATCTATTCCAAAGTTGGAGAGCCTTTACTTTTATCACTTTGGATTTAAGCCCTTCCAAGTAGTTAAAATTCTTGTCAATCGCCAACCGAGCTTTATTAAGGTAGACTTCTCTAGGTGCCACAACGAAGCCACATAAACGTCCACGCAGTCTGCTACGCATCTCGTTCTGTCATTTTCTTGGGCTTTTGAAGCGATGTCGTGGTTGTTAGACACCATATACACTCCTTGCTGTTTCGGCTCTGTGCAAAATTTAGGGCCTTTTTCAAGCACCTTGCGAATATTTTCTGGAAGAGGTTCTCCGCCCAACAGGGTGACAGACTCACCTTTGGGCTGCGTCTTAGGTGAACGTAGGCTTTTCAGATGAGGGACGTAAGATCCCCACAGGAATTCAGTCATCTGTCTGGCCGTGTTCGAGAAGGTCCTGTATCTGGATCCTCCACCTTTGTCATTCGGGTTTCCACACCCAGCAAGAACGCTGAGGCAATACCTGTAAAACCGCACTTGTCGCCACATTTCAGACCTGAGGATATTGCACATCCTCTTGTTATGTTGCATGGATGGTCTTGCATATCCGAAAAGGGCACTTACTTCTTGCGGCAACACATTATGTCTGATGGCAAAAGAGTAGAGCCTCGCTTTGCATGTAGAGATGGCGATGAAATTTACATAAAAGGAAACACAGTCTACTGAAGAAACACACGAAAAGGGCCCAATGTAGAAGAAAGATACCGAATTAAAATTAACTGTTGGGCTAGTTGGTTAAACATCTTATTTACAAAAGCGCAAGATGTTTAACCAACTAGCCCAACAGTTAATTTTAATTCAGTATCTTTCTTCTACATTGGGCCCTTTTCCGTGTGTTTCTTCAGTAGACTGTGTTTCCTTTTATGTAAATTTCATCGCCATGTCTACATGCAAAGCGAGGTTCTACTCTTTTGCCATCAGACATAATGTGCTGCCGCAAGAAGTAAGTGCCCTTTTCGGATATGGAAGACCATCCGGCCATGAAACATAACAAGAGGATGTGCAAGACCCTAAGGTCTGAAATGTGGCGACAAGTGCGGTTTTACAGGTATTGCCTCAGCGTTCTTGCTGGGTGTGGAAACCCCAATGACAAAGGTGGTGGATCCAGATACAGGACCTTCTTGAACACGGCCAGACAGATGACTGAATTCCTGTGGGGATCTTACGACCCTCATCTGAAAAGCCTACGTTCACTTAAGACGCAGCCCAAGGGTGAGTCTGTCACCCTGTTGGGCGGAGAACCTCTTCCAGAAAATATACGCAAGGTGCTTGAAAAAGGCCCTAAATTTTGCACAGAGCCGAAACAGCAGGGAGTGTATATGGTGTCTAACATCCACGACATCGGTTCAAAAGCCCAAGAAAATGATAGAACGAGATGCGTAGCAGACTGCGTGGACGTAGTACTGAGAGCAGGCCCACCATGTGAAAGAAAATTGAACGTATCTAGGGTTGTTGACCATTTCCGAGAAAATAACTTAAACCTGCTGGTCTCCGACAAGGAAGGAGGCTTCGTTGTGGCACCTAGAGAAGTCTACCTTAATAAAGCTCGGTTGGCGATTGACAAGAATTTTAACTACTTGGAAGGGCTTAAACCCAAAGTGATAAAAGCAAAGGCTCTCCAACTTTGCAATAGATTGGACTTAACTCAACTCAGAAAACAGATTACCGCGGCAAAAGGTGTCCAATTGGAAATGTTTTTTACGGCAAAAACTCACAAGGAAAGTTGCCCATTTCGAGTAGTGGTAACAGAAAAAGGATCATGGCAGGGAGCTATGTCTAGATACCTTCTAGACCACCTTAAAAATCTTGAAATCAACGATCCATTTTTGATTCCCAACTCGCAGACATTGATAGAACACCTTAAACAAGATGGCACAACAGTGAGGTATGGGTTTTCGCTTGACGTGGAAGACTTATTTTACTCAGTCCCACACAAGGAAATGTTTGCGGCAACCAGTGCGTGCATCGAGAACCATGGAACTGTGTCCTTCCAAAATCAGTGCGGTATCTCCGTGGAGTCATTCATGGAGCTTCTGAAGTTCTACCTCACCTCCACTGTAGTGACGTTCAACAACAACACATATATCCAGAAAAAAGGAATATGCATTGGCTCATGCGTGGCACCAGTTCTGTGTAACATCTTCTTAGCCCAATGTGACAAGAACATAGCCCAGAAGCTCCCAGCGAATCTGGTATCACGGGTGTTCAGATATGTTGATGATTATCTTGTCTTACTGCATGAACGACCTAAACAAAATGACTTGACTGTAAACAATATCTGCACCAGGTTCCTTACTCAATCTCAGGGACTAAGCTTTATCCACGAGCTACCAGATGAAAGCAAGCTTCAATTCCTAGATCTTCAGCTGTCCTTTGAAGACAACCATACTTGCTGGACATACAAACCACGGTCCAAAAAATCACTTCTACCATTTGATTCGGCCCATTCTAAAATAATCAAGAGAGGAATTGTAAAAAGCTGCTTCATAGCAGCCTTGCAAAAATCATGCGTGCACACAGCCAAGCAGAGTTTTGAGGCACAAGTTCAAAAACTACAAAAATCTGGGTATACCAGTTTTTTAATGTTCGATGTAGCAGAGAGCCTGACCACTCACAATGAAAGAAGAAGAAGAGATAAGACACGGCGCCCGGCAGTGATACCCTACCAATACAAAGTATCACACAACTTGAAACGAATAGTGTCAAAATATGACATACAGGTTGTAACATCAGCTCCTGACAAACTTAAGAAACTGTGTCCAAAAATCAACTCCCAGAACGAAAGACAAGAACACTGCTCAGTCCAACACGCACATAAATATATCAACTGCAACGTCAACATCGTTTACGAAATTTCGAGCACATGTGGGGAAGTGTACGTCGGTCAATCTGGGTGCTGCGTAAATGTGCGACTACGAGAGCATGAGCTTTCCCTACAAGCCTCACCGTCTGGACACTTGGCCATACATGCCAGAGACCATAAATGCACTCCCCTTTTCAATCAAACGCAAATACTCAAACGCGTTCGGAGCAAGAGAGCCAGAGAGATTTTCGAGGCAAAAACTATAATCGAAAAAGGAGACACGTGCATTAGCACACCATAAATTTCACTGTCTGAGAAAGAGATAGTGTACCTCAACCTTTTTTCTTAATCTGGATGCTTTTCTTTAATTTTATTTTTCTATCAGTCCTAATTTTTCTCAAATAATTTTAATCATTTTACGTGGGAAAACAATTGGAATTTTAATTTATTAAATCTCCTCTCATTTTCGTCTTTCTCTTATTAAGCATTAAACAATCAGTTGTTACTAAGCGCTTGTCCTGTTCATTCTTTGTCCTGTCCTTGTCCTTTGCGCTTTTGTAAATAAGATGTTTAACCAACTAGCCCAAAAGTTAATTTTAATTTAGCAGTAATAAGTCCAGATATTTTACGAATGTGAAAACAAATTATATGTTTAGAATGAATGAATAATGTTATGGGGCCCTTAAGAATATGCTTTCTGCAACCCGTGGACTTGCTGGAAGTGTATATCATTATATGTGGCGACATTAATCTTATTTGGGACGGTTTTTCCGTGTCAGAGTGGGCCAACACAAAATATATATTTTATTTCTAGGCATGCAACATGCAGTAATCATTCCAGCGGAACCAATGGCTTTGCCACTTGAATATACTCTTATGCCAGAACACTTCAGACGTCTCGGATACAAGACACACATGGTTGGAAAGGTGGGCAAATTCTTCTGTAAGTTTTAAAATAATTTTTTTTTCAGGCACCACAATCACGGTGTGCGTTCGGAACGGGTCTCCGATTGGTGCGTTTGGTGTCTTATTCCGACCATGCATCAAAGTGGTCCCAAAATGGCAACACATGACGCCACAAAAGCCGGAGTGTCATTCTAGCGGATGTCGCGATTCTGGCAATTGGGCTTAGAAGTACCGAAAAAAAAAACTCGAGGGAAGGCGAGTGTCATTGTCGTCGTGGCGTCCGCAACCCCTTGCTGCCGAAGCTCCCGTGAACTGTCAAGCTGGATAGGAACTTGCTGCAGAAGAGGCGTCTGCCGGATCCACCACCACTGTTGTGACACCGCTAGGATCGCTGCCGGCGACAGAATGACACTTTTATGACGTCATCAGGCGGAAATCGAGGGGGACGCGTTAGTCCATAACCTCGTCTATACTGGCAGAGCCTGGCAGATCGCCACAAGTCGCGGCCGCCGAAAGGTAAAAGGTAGAGCGGTAGACAACGGATGAGAGGAGAGCCATGTAACGGGCGCCTCGCTGCGGCGAGACGCCGAAACACACTTGTCCTTAGCGATGGAAAGACCGCTAGTACTCCTCACGTTTCTGCGCTACCGCTTATTTTCTCGCCGGGTTTGAAAACCATGTCTCGGGTCCTCGCCGCTGCAAAAGCTGTGCGCTGACTACAGGCTGCCCGAGAAATGCTCTGTGCTACCAGATCCTCGCGCTCCAAATCTGCGACAGGGCAATCTACGGCTCCGTCGCCGAACTGCCAGGCTTTGGAAGTATAGAGTACTCTAGAGAACTGAATTTGAGGAGCAATGCTTGTGAGCTGCACAATAAAATAACAGTGACACCAAAAATCTTGTTGCAGTGGCACCTCGGATACTATGATAAAAAGTATGTACCGTTGAGGCGTGGATTCGACACATTTTTTGGATTTTACAACCCCTCGCTGGACTACTTCAACCAGAACTTCACGGCAAGGTGTCCACCTATCGCAAAACCATGCAAAGTAAATTGAATTTTTTCATTACTTTATTAGTCTATTGCTTACACTCTATTCTAGTGTTTCAATTAAAATACTATTTTCCATTCTTTAAGGCTACTCACACTGGGCATGACTTTAGATCTGGCGAGGAGATTTACAGGGAAAAGAATCCACAATACTCGACTTATTATTGCACGAATAAAACCATTGAACTGATTCGTCGCCATAAAAAATCAACGGTAAGAGAAAAAAATCATGCTTGGGATACTCATGCAAAGGTCGTTCCCAACTACGCCTAAATGAGAAACAGTGTGTTATCAGCATGTCTTTTGGGGTGACACAATGATTACGTTAAACGTTTTATATTAATATTATTGTTGCTAAAAAGTTCTCAGTATTGTGAGCTTATAATTTCTTTTTATATAATTGCAGCCATTGTTCTTGTTCTTAAGTCACCAAGCACCTCACGTAAGTGGTGGATCCACGCCTTTCCAAGTTCCGAGTGATGGCGTCAGAAATTTTACTTATATTAAAGAAGAAAACAGAACTTTATTTGCGGGTTTGTATTAAGTATAACTTTTCACGTGTTGGTTTAGTATTGTTTACTTGGATGTGTGCGTCCGAAAAAGTAGGATATAAATAGTATCATTGTTCTATTCAGGACTGCCAATATCAAAATGTAATTATTGTTTTATGGCTTCACCAACTCATAGAGAGTGATTTCCAGGCTTGGAAATCAAAGTACTGTTTCTCAAACTGAATTTTCAAAAAGAGAATTCAGGTGCATGGGCAGAACACGTATTTTAAGGATTGCACTTCGACTGAAAACAAAATTGGCGCAATATTTACATCGCGAGACTCGTTTGAGAAATTGTGGAACGCTATTAATAAAACATGTTTCCGAAGCGCTCCTCATTGAAAAAGTGTCTTGCAACGTACATTATTTCAGGAAACGTCTTTCCTTCAAGTAAAGTGGTTTTTTTTTTTTTTTTATCACATACGTTTACATTAGAGGCGCCTGATTAGGGCAACACCCGACAGATGGCGGCACGTAAGATCGCAGATGGCCACGACGGCCGTTTTTCTCGACCTCAGCAATAGCAGACGTTTCTGTGCCAGAAGCGATGCGCGCTTTCTCTGCAAGAATAGTCAACGCAGGCTTATTTTTTACTACCGATACGAGTTTTGCCCATGCTGTTTTCAGATGCAAGTCATCTTGCGAAACAATACGAGTACATGAAGCGATAAAACATCGAGGACGGAGGTGGAAACAGCACTTCTTTCATTTAGCAACAACAAAAAAGTTATATCCTGTCCTGCATTCGTATATCTTGACCAACACGCTCGTTTCCAATTATTAAGTCATCTTCATGGCGCGCTTAGCTCAAACGAGCGAGTGAAGGTTGCTCACTGCTACTGGAGTGTAAGAGGACGAAAAAGGTCCACCGACGTTTTCGGGAGGAGTTTTGGCGAAAAACTCCGGGCTCCTGTACAATTCACGAAGCTGACGCTAAAAAATACGCAATTCGGTGCCTTCATGGCCAACTTCCAACTCCCCCACCCCTCCCACGCCGGCGCGCAGAGCACTCCTGACATTTGTCGACCATTGGGCCAATGAGACAACTTTGGTTAGCACATTGCCCCCGTAGGTAGATATTTCAGAGTTTTCATTTCTAACCTTTTACTCCTATGTTTGTTCAGCGAAAATTTTATACCTTAATGCAAGTTCCGGCCACTTCTGTGCAAAAGTTCAGGTTGATACGTTTAGAAACCGATTTACGCAGCTCTTTCAAACAGCCATCGATTTCGTTGACACACCCTGTGCAACATGTGAATAACAGAATTTTCGTAAAACACATTTGCATTTATTTAAAACATTAAAGAATTATACATCTGTGTTTTGTTTCTTAAGGTATGGTGGACGCACTGGATCAATCAGTTGGTAGAGTTGTTGCTGCCTTGCAAGAGGAAAACCTGTTAAACGACACTATCCTCGTGTTTTCTTCTGACAATGGTGCATTGCCCTGGGGATTCCAGTCAAATCGAGGCTACAATTGGCCCCTGAGGGGTGGAAAGTCTACCCTATATGAGGGTGGCGTAAGGGGCACCGCTTTCCTATGGAGTCGTCGTCTGAAGAACACGAAGCGTGTCTCCAACCAGCTGATGCACATCTCAGATTGGCTTCCGACGCTCTACTCTGCAGCGGGTGAGTATAACGAGTACAGGGTAGGGTGTCTTCTAGTCCGCACTTACCCTAAATAAAAAAGCTGTAAAAACTGTACTCATGCGGATTCAGCAGATGTGTTATACGGCCAGGGGGACCAAATACAGCAGGCTATCATCACGATGAGTAAAGTAAATACTATAAACGACTTAATTTTTGCGAGGACCTAATGTTCCCGAATTCTGCGAATCGTCTACAGTTCTCAAAAAATAGGTTTCGCGAAACATTGCGGTAAGATATAAACACATTGGAAACTATTTCAAGAGCCCACCGCGTCACGAAAATTAGAACCCGCAAATTATTCCAAAACTTCAGCTTTGACCTAAATCGCAAAATATCGAGCTCGCGAAAAAAAAAAAAAAAAAAAGTCGTTTACACTAACTATTTTTTTTAATTTTACTTTTTAATTAGTGCAGACAAACCTGAAGTTTTAATTAGAAACTCTCTGAGCAACATTGAGAACAACTAAATCAGTCAATTTTGGAAAGACTTGAAGCGCGTGGGAAGAAAGGTGGTGTGCTCAAATTACCACTCGTGAAACCGCCGCAAGGCTGCAGGTGCAAAAACGACCCCCCGAGCGGTATTTTCGTCTCTTATCATCCGCGCTATCACACCGTCAGCTTTATGCCTGTTGCACGAGTGATAAATGCAGGTGATCCCGAAGAATCAGTTTTCTGGTTCCAGTGTCCATAATATATACATATATATATATATATATATATATATATATATATATATATATATATAAGAGAGAGAGAAAACTATTCTGTATGCTGATCTTGCCTACCTAGCGAATATCTCAACGAGAAACTATTGGAAGCGTGCGGCAAGACAATGACGTCACGGTTTTGTCTTGTAGACACGCCATCGTTCCATCGACACGAGGATAGTGTCGTTGAGAGCCATAGTTATTTTGTTTTTAATACAAGACTGGTAAGTTGAGAACACAGATCCTCTCCTTGCATTGGCACAGACAGCCACGACCATCTCAATCCCTGAGAAGGTCAATGGGATAAAATGAGGAAGGTAAATACTTCCGCGGATTTGATCAGTTACTGGCACCCGTAAATATGAATGTCGTTCCGTAGCGCTCTTCCGAACCGTCGAAGATACACACCCTTCGTAGAGGCGTGTTCCAGCGCAGATACGCGAAAACATGGAGGTGTTTATACAGTATTTGCCGCTTACAATCGCGGGTGACAAAAGTGAACCCGAGCTCCGAGCAAGCCCTGCAGGGCCGAACGTCGCGAGATGACACACAGAGAAACGCGGGACGGCGGTAGGTTTTCGATTGTCAAGGAGCGAAACACTAGAGAGTTTTAGGGAACCGTTTTGGCACATCCGATACGGTACGGTGGGCCCTCCGGTACGAACTGCGCATGCGCTTGTCTTCTGCGATCTTACCGTAATGCGCTGGTCGAACCGTAAGGCACGACCGGCACGACCAATGGCCGACATGGACAGTCTCGCTTGGTGAGCGAAACGGCGATTTCGCTGGCGGAGAGAGCGTGCCGTGGCTTCAAACATGAAGAAAATAAATCGTGGCAGTGCCTGGCAGGAGCGCCACGTGTGACAGCAAGTCTATAATGTTTGAGTGAGCAAATGAGACAAAGATTAAGGAACAAAACGCAATAGGACTTTTTGAATAGAAATAAATTGGTATTTAGCGTAACCATAAACGTCTGCTCGGTAGCTCATTCCAATTTCGAACACCAGCGCGTGCGGACGTGGAATCATGAGCTCCAGCGGAGCGGTTTTTGCGGCCCGGCCGGGCCGCGGTGCCAGGGAAGACGCAGCGCCTACTGAATACCCGACTATTCTGCCACCCCTGCCGACTGGTTCTGCGGCGTTAAACACCGTATTTTTGCATGCTGATGTTCGTGGCCGCCCGTACCGAGTCGAGGACTTCCGGGACACCCTGCAGCGTGTGGAAATGCTCCCCGAAGTCGCCGCTTTGGGAGCATACCAGATGAACCACGTCTGGGCTGTGACTTTCAAGTCACCCGAGGGAAAGCGGAAGGCCCTTGCCGTCGGCGACCTCGTCGTCAAGGGGCGGTGATGCCTCGTCATCGACCCGGGAAACCGAGCGATTCGCCTCAAGCTTCACTGGATGCTGTACCATGTTCCTGATGACGAGGTGAAGGCGGCGTTGGCACCGTACGGCACTATAATCGAGGTGGGCACCGAGAAGTGGCGAGTGCAAGGCATTCTGGGCTGCGCGTCGATGACGCGAACGGCTGTCATTCGGCTCAAGCCTGGGCTTACACTGGACGACCTGCCGCATCAGTTGCGCATCGCTGGAGGGCTGGCGCTCGTTGTGGCGCCGGGCAGGGCGCCACTCTGCCTGCGCTGCCAGCGGACCGGCCACATTCGCCGTGACTGCCGCGTGCCCAAGTGTGAGTCGTGCCACCGTTTCGGCCATGACGCTGACCAATGTGTGAGGACTTATGCTGCGGCCGCAGGTGCCCGAAGCGGCGAGACAAACGCCGAGCACGTCATGGACGAGACAGACGCGGAGGAAGTCGCCGCGAGTGCCATTACAGCTGCCAAAGACAATGAGGAGAGAGCTAAGGATAGCACCGACCCACTAGCGTCTGCAGAGTTGCCGAAGATGACGGAGGCCACGCCAGTTGCCGTGGCCGAGACGAGCCTGGACCAGACAACACCATGCAACGCTGCGCCGGGGAAGGAGGAGGAAGAGGTGAGAGCCGTCGAGCCAACGACGTCTTCTGAGGCGCAGCTAAGCGTCGACGTGGATATGGCCGACACTGGGGCCTTGGCCACGAAACGACCACGGGAACTCGATTCGGATTCAGACTCGGACGCGGTTAAGGTTGGCTATGACTCGAACTCGGAGGAGCTGCCTGCGAAGACGGTGACCACGAGGCGGAGAAAGCCTCGACCCGCACCGATTTGTGTTTCCGAACCCAGAAAACCGGACAAGCCGACCGGCTGATGCGGTTATGAGCTGGTACTTGGTGCGGTTCTCTAGACGAGGTGAGCCCCTGACATGCGAGAGCGTCTATTTATGTCGTAAACCTGAAATTGTCGACACTTAACGTTTGAGGCTTTTCCTCGCGTCGCAAGCAATATCAGGTAAAGAGGCTCCTAATCGACAAAGGTATAGATGTCCTCGCAATTCAGGAAACCAAAGTTGGAAGTGACGAAGAGACCGCATGCTTACTGGCTTCTTTCTTGCACTCTTTCGAGGTGTGCCTGTCGCGGGCAAATGGTATGTCCGGGGGTTGTATGTTGTTTTTACGAAAATCTTTGAACGCAGAAGTCCAATCAGTAATAGTCGACAATGTTGGTCGACTCGTCATTTGCGACTGTAGTATTTCCAATGTTGAATATCGTATCATAAATGTATACGCCCCAAACGACATTAACGAAAGGAAAATGTTTTTTCAGAGCATTGACCAATATTTAGATTCTCAACGTAAAGTTGTTTTGTTAGGTGATTTTAACTGCGTTTGTGGCACACGGGACCGATCCAAAATTACAAAACAAAGCGATAGTAGTGCAATTATTTTAAACGAGATGATTAAGGAATACAGTTTGCAGGATGTCGCGACGTACCAAAGAACCAACGATTGTTTATGGTACACACATTATCAGTCCTCGAGTCATGCCCGTCTTGATAGAGCTTACGTGTCAATTGAACTTTTAACCGGATGCGAAGACTATAATGTACTGCCGGTATTTTTCTCTGATCATGCGCTCGTTTCTTTTATTGTTGGTGGTTTCAAAGAAAAAACCCAGTTTTGTTGGGACCAGTGGAAAATGAATAATAACCTTCTTAAGGATGAAGTTTTTACTGAGACAGTAGATAAATTATGAAGTAAAATGCACCACATAGGGACGAGCGCCTGTGAAAAGAGGGAATGGTTTAAGCGCAAAGTTAAATTTAGTGCAATAGAACGGTCTAGCACGCTTGCTTACTGGAAAAAGACCGAAGAAACGTTGCTGCTTGATGACCTTCACCGACTATGCAGACTCGAAAATGAAAACCCAGGTATGCTTTCAGAACAGATTAAGACAGTAAAAAGTAAAATTGCGGACTTAGAGGTGGAAAAGTATAAAGGAGCCATCGTGCGGGCCCGAGCCGCTAAATACATTCTAGGGGAGCAGCCCACCAAACGGGCATTAAAGGGATACTGAAGCGAAACTTGAAATACACCTATTATGGTCAGAAATAGGTTCAATATGGTCAATGATAATCATAAATCATAATCGCGCGTTTGTATTTTGAACGGATGGCTATATTTTTCACCCTGATGGGCCCGATTGGGCGCGCGCTCAAAAATCGGCCATCGGAGAGCGCGATGCGTCTTGGGATATTGGGCGCATTCGTGACGTCACTTGTGCCGGTCGGGAAAGGCTACGGCGTGAATGTTGTGGTTACGGGCGTTGCCACTTGGTGGCGCGTCGACGATTTACGACTGTGACAACGTGGCCGTTTGAGATGTGCAAGGGCTGCACGCACGCTGCACCACGGGACCACGGCAAGTCGGCAACCACGGCAGCACTCACAAAACCAGCTCTGAGGCCGGATTCTCAAAGCGAATTCACGACGAAAAACGTGCGTACGACAAATTTGAGAGAAAACCCGTGCTCTCGAAACGAAATTGTCGTAACCTTTGCGCAGGTTATGACAGAATCCTACGACAGCTCCGAAGCTGTCTTACGCACTTTTTACGATCAAATCAACAAGGCCGACAGCGTCGCTCAGTTACTTGGTATCGGCCACTAACGGACATTTATTTTTCTTCGTGCTCTTCTCGCGCGTCCCGACTTCAACCAGCAAGAAAAAAGGAAGGAGTACTTAAAACAGACCACGATCAAGAACGCAGGATCCACAAACACACGAGAAGAGCTACAACAGCCACGATTCTGCCGACCGAGCGAGCTCGGCAGAATATAGTAGGCCTAGCAGCAACATCGACTCGGCGCACCGTTGCTCCGGCGGTCCTTGGCCAAGA